GTAAAATCTCCAAAACTCAAATCGGTCAATTTTTTTTTAGAATGAAGCTAGAACTGTCAGCTGTCAAATGACATAGCAATAACATAGATGCGAATGATTCTAGTACTTCCAAAAATGAACTAGTGCCATCTGTTGCAAACATACATCATGACTTTTGTGATAACCCAATAAAGACCTCAACATAATAAAGGCCATATATGACATATTCTCAGCTATCATAATACTGAACGGTAAAAAATAGAAAGCTTTTCCTCTAAGGTCAGGAATAAGACAAAGATGCCCGGTCTTGCCACTGTTATTCAACATAGTACTGGAAGCCCTTGCCAGAGCAGTTAGGCAAGAAAAAAATAAATAAAATTCATCCAAATTGGGAAGGAAGAAATAAAACTGTCACTATTTGCAGATGACATGATTCTATAAACAAAACACTAAAGACTCCTTCAAAAAACTGTTAGAAATAATAAATGCAGTAAAGTTGCAGGATATAAAATCAACATACAAAAATGTCACATTTTAATATACTAACAAAAATATCACAAAGAAATGACAAAAACAACCCTATTTACAATTGCAATAAAAAGAATAAAATACCTAGGAATAAACAAAGGAGGTGAAGGACCTGTACACTGAAAACTATAAGACATTGTTGAAAGAAATTGAAGACACAAAGAAATGGAAAGACTTTCTGTGTTCGATTGAAAAAATTAACATTGTTAAAATGTCCATGTTACCTAAAACAATCTACATATTTAATGTAATCCCTATCAAAATCCCAATGGCATATTTCACAGAAATAAAAAAAAAATGCTCAAATTTGTATGGAACCACCAAATATCCCTGAATAGCCAAAGTGATCAAGAGGAAATAAGAACCAAAACAGAAGGTATATTACACACCCTAACCTCAAACTATACCACAAAGCTACAGTAATCAAAACAGTATGGTGTAGGTTGAAAAGCTGATAACACAGACCAGTGGAACAGAATCGAGAGCCCAGAAATAAACCCCCACATATATGGACAACTAATTTTTGATGAAAGAGCCAAGAATATACAGTGGAGAAAGGAAAGTTTCTTTAATAAATGGTGCTGGGAAAATTGAACAGCCACATGCAAAAGAATGAAACTAGACTGCTATCTTATGCCATACACAAAAATTAACTTAAAATGGATTAAAGACTTGAATGTAAGACCTGAAACAATAAAATACATAGAAGAAAACAGGCATTACACTTGTGGACTTTGGTTCAGAGGGTTTTTTGTGAATTTGACCCCAAAAGCAAGGAAAACAAAAATAAATGAATGAGACTACATTAAACTAAAAAGCTTCTGTACAGCAGAAGAAACCATCAACAAAACAAAAAGGCAACCAACCAAATGGGAGAAGAGATTGCAAACAATACCTCCAATATGGGACTAATATCTAAAATATATAAAGAACTCACACAACTCAACAACAAAAGAGCAATCCTTTTAAAAAAATGGGCAAACGATCTGAATAGACATTTTTCCAAGGGAGACATACAGCTAAAAGACATGAAAAGATGTTTAACATCACTAGTAATTAGGGAAATATAGATCAAAACCACAATGAGCTAATACCACCTCACACCTGTTAGAATGGTTATTATCAAAAAGCTAAGAAATGAGGATGTGGAGAAAAAGGAACTTTGTACACTGTTGATGAGAATGTAAATTAGTGTAATCATATGGAAAAGCAGTATGAAGGTTTTTCAGAATATTATGAATGGAACTACCATATGATCTACCAATTCCTCTTCTGGGTATTTACCTGAAAAATAAGAAAACACAAAGGTATATGTACCCGTATGTTCATTGCAGCATTATTTACAATAGCCAAGACATGGAAACAAACTAAGTGTCCACTGATGGATAATTGGATTAAAAAAATGTGGTATATGTACACATGGGATACTACTCAGCCATAAAAAAAAAGGTGAAATACTGCCATTTGCAACAACATGGATGGAACTTGAAATTACTATGCTAAGTGAAATAAGTCAGATGAAATGGGACAAAAACTATATGATTTCACTCATGTGGAATGTAAAACAAAAGTAACAAAGAAACTAACAAAACAATCTCATAGATATAGACAACAGAATTGTGGTTACCAGAGAAGAAAGAGGGTGGGTGGAGGGTGAAGTGGGTAAAGGGTCAAATATATGGTAATGGAAGGAAACTAGACTTCTGGTAGGAAGTGCAGAATAGACTATACAGTGTTGAATTATAATCTTGCACACCTGAAAATTTTGTAATGTTATTAACCAGTGTTACCCTAATTTAATTTTTAAAAGCCCACAGTTTGGTAACGAATATGCATCCACCACAACATCTAAAAATTAGAAGACCAACAATATCAAACATGCAAAAGAATATAAAACAACTAGACTTCTTATACGCTGCTGATGGGAGTGTAAATTGGTACATTTTGGTAGTATCTTTACAAACTATTTAAAACCTATGGCTTAGCAATTCCACTTATAAGGTATATAGCCAAAGACATGTGTACACACTCATGTTCATCAAAGACATGTACTATAATGTAACAGCATTATTTGTATTAGCAAAAAGCTGAAAACTAGCCAAATACTCATCAGCGGTAGAATAGATATATGATTGTTATATATTTACAGAATAAAAAAGCATCCAGCAGTGAAAATGAATGAACTCCACAGATTAGTGTGGAAGAATCTCTTCTATACATATATTACACTTCAATAAAAGTGTCTTTTTTTAAATAACCAATTTGAAGGAGCTCCCATTAGCCTATGATGGGACAATTTGAGCCTCAAAAAGAAAAAATGACTAAAAATTAAAAATCACATCCTTGAATATTACATGGAGGTTGTGAAAGGTTGGTGAAGACCCTGATACTCTAGGGGTCAGATTGACATCACCTGAACCCAATATGAGCCTTCTGATGTGCTACAATCAGAAGTGCACAATCTAAGAAGTATCTTGCTTCCCTCCGCTTCCCAAAAAACAATTGAATCTGCTGAAGTCTATAGACCTGTCAGTTTATAGAAAATATAGGTGATAGAGAAAATAAGCAGTAACACAAGCAATCAGCCAGTTCCAGGATGTAGAGTATTTAAAAGACAAATGATCACATCTCCCCCAACAAATCAGTGATGAGATAAAATAGAGTAAAGGAAAATTGTTACAGACCAGAAAAGACTTAAGAGACATAGCAGTCAAGCTCATTTTGGAGACTTTGTTTATTTAGATCCTGATTGGAGTAAATTCACTATAAAGAACAAGTATAACACAATTGGGAAATTTTGAATATTAACTGGGTGCCTGGGTATTAGATAGTATTAAAGGATTATTAATCTTACGAGGTATAAAGTAGTTGTTTATGTAAAAATAAATTATGTAAAAAAATAAAATCAGTGTGTAAAAGTTTTTACAAGTGAAATGATATTTTAGGGTTTGTTATTAAGTATTCTAAAAAAAAAAAAGTAGGAATAGGGTTTAGATGGAACAAGATTGGTAAAATACTGTTTTTGAAGTGGAGTGATGGGTACCTGTGGGTGAATTATACTGTTCTGTCTACTGTTTTATGTATGTTTGAAAGTATCTAAAATGAAAAAAATAAATTCACTGATGCTATTTGGGGAAATTGTCATTTCTTTTACAGCAGCACTACCAATTAGAAATGGTGAGTAAGTCAGGCTCTCCTGCTATCTTCTCATAGCTGACTTAAGTCTTCTTTTGTATATTGCCTGTCCTATCATTTTTGGCAACGACTTGGCAGAACAACCAGGAGGTATTTCAGCAGAGCAAGAAGTTATATGTATTGGTGGAAGAGAGACCCCCCCCAAACAGGTAATGTGAACATTCTTTTAATTGAACAGTTTGGATTTTCACTTAAAAAGCAGGCTGCAGGCTAAAATGGAAAACTTGCAGGCTTTGTAGGCAGTAGGTCCAGGTGTGGATCCTACCCAAGTTAGTCATTTGTATGACTTCTTTCTCTTAGGTTTAAAAGGGGGGGGATGTGAGGATAACTTGTTCTGCTTACCTAACAAGTGTAAGTATCAATTAAAATAGATATGAATGTAGTTTATGAACTATCTGGCAGAATATGATTGCTATGTGATAATTTTTATTTTTAAAAATAACGTATCGTCTTTAATATGAGAGTTATTTATATCAACTGTGGACAGTGTCAATCCCAGAACATCATTGATCTAACTTTTGCATGTTTCTGTATGGTCTCCCTGTTTTTATTTCTTCCTTCTGGAAAAATTTTATGTTCTATTTTTAAATTTACATAAAAGGGATTATATTATATTTTGTTCCTTTTCCCGACTTATTACATCTTAGAGAGCTTTCCATTATCAGTACATAAAGTTGAACCTCATTTTATTAATAGTTTAATAATAGTGTTCCATCATATAAATAAATTTTTAGTTAATTCTTCCCTTGTCATGTATACTATGGTCGTTCCCTTGTTCTTTTTTCCATGATACAAATCATGCTGCACTGAGTATCTGTATACAAATGTCTTGGCAAATATTTGTGACTATATTCATGGTATATATTCCTAGCAGAGAGATTGCTGTGTTGAAGGAAAGATATATATTTTAGTTTTGCTAGATAATGCCAAATTGCCCCCTGGAAAATTTTTGCCACTTTCTACTTGCACCAACAATATGTAAGCGTGCCCATTTCTCCCTCACCATCTACAGTGTTGAGTTTCATTAGACATCCCAATTTATATCATCTAATACATGAAAAAATGGTCTCTTTAATTTGCATTTCTTTAATTATAAGTGAAAACTTAATTGATCATTTGTATTTTTTTGTAAGCTGTTTATATCCTTTGTTTTCCTGGTATTTTTCTTTGATTCACATGAGCCAAGTATTTTATAGCTACTTGAGTTGATTATGAACCTAATTTTGGATGTATAACAAACTTGTTCTTTGTTGGTTATCTAGGTAACTGCTAGGTTCTGTTTTTATCTTTCTAAAATTTGATTAATAAAAAAATCCAGTTTCTTAAGATCAAAAGGTAGTAATATTTTTATGGCTTGTACGTTTGACCAGATTGCATTCTATGAAGAATGACAAGTGATTCATAGGTGTTGCAGTTCTTCTATAGCATTTTCAATTTGGTTTGTATCATTTTTGTGTGGTTTTGTAAATTTGATAGTTGTACATCTTTTTAAGACTTACTTTCTATTTTCCCTAATTATTGAATGTATTCTGATTTCCATCCAGCAGTCTTCCCAGAAGTCTAGCCCTCTTCTACCTTCAGCTTCTACAGATGAGGAAGAAGGGGATATTTGCACAATATGTTTAGAACAGTGGACCAATGCTGGGGATCACCGGCTCTCAGCATTACGTTGTGGGCACCTCTTTGGGTATAAGTGCATTTCTAAGTGGCTCAAAGGACAGACACATAAATGTCCTCAGGTAAGAACCGTAGGTAGAGACTGTACATGTGCACAGTCAACATGTTACGTCAGGAGGATTCCTAGAACCATACTAATTGTGTCCTGTTGGGCTCTTTAGTGCAACAAGAAAGCCAAGCAGAGTGACATTGTTGTCCTTTATGCCCGAACCCTGAGAGCTTTGGACACTAGTGAACATGAGCACATGAAAAGGTAGGTAGAAAGAGTCTGCCTAGCCGGAATGTTCCCTTTTGGTTTCTTGTAGGCACGTCTGCAAAAGGAGGTATGAGTCACTCTTAGTGTGATTCTGAAGCTTTACTTGGGTTGTGACTGGGGATCTCTAGGGATCATTGGCAATCTGTCTCACATTGTGACTTATAATACATGTTTGCTCATCTTCTGAAGGAGGTCTGCATTGTTTAGTTTCCATACAGCATTAAAAATGAGGATCTGTGGTAACAAGTAATTGTGGTTTCAGCTAGTTCAATGAATGTAAGCCCCAGGACTATATATTCTTCATATTCTTTCTCAAGCCCTTGCAAAAGAATATAATCCCAGAGCTCCCAGGTGCCTTAGGATGGGGGAGCCTGCTTGAAAATGAAGTCAATGCACAGGAAAACAGCTGAGAAGTGAAGGAAGACAGATTCCTGAACTTCGATTCAGCTATGCTTGAAGTTAGACTCCAGTGGATTTCTCAGTTACAAAAGGCAGTACATTGGTTTTCAGTTTTAGTTTGCCAGTTTAAAGTTTCTACCCTTGTCATCTAAAGAGTACTAACCAGTGTTACCGAGAGACATAAAAGAAGGGCAACAGGAGGTAGACTCTGCCCCTTGTTTCTTCATGTGTGCTCGGCACCTCTTGTGAGCAAGCCTCTGTTTTCAGAGCCTGAGTGTGGTGTGCTGATTAGAACAGGCAGGTTCAGAAGGAATGGAGCAGCTGTTTCTTCTGCAGGAGCACTTAGGCATTCCCATGAAGTTGGAATCAGCCTTAAGAGTTAAGCCTTTGGTAATATGACCTGGGAGATCAAGACCATGGTATCTTAAGCTTTCCCGAAATTAAAAGCCATAGAGAAACCTACAGCCCTACTGTAACATTTTATACCTGGCCTGGGCAGCAGACCCAAGCAGAAAGATATCCTGGATTTTTTGTAGCATGTCCAGATTCTTACCAAGGGATTACATTTCCTGCCTGCCTCTACAGCTAAATACCATGAACGCTGAATCTGAGATTCCTATCTTAACGCTTTGTAGCCAATTCATGGCCATCTGAAACACTCTCCAAATCATAGTCTCCTCTTTGCTTGAATAAGCTTAGTGATACTTTAAAAAAAAGGCATCTGGCACATTACTTATATGTTGTCATTTTTGCTTATGGTATTCCTAAACCTTTTTACAATAGCACTCTACACAGAAGACTCATAAATGATGGTTTGCACGTGTAGTGCAATGTAAGAAATCGGGATTTTGGAAGCTTAAGAATAATTGCTAATAACATTATTTAAAATGTGCTTTAAAAACATTAAAGAATAAAAATACCCACCACTGAGAGACTGCAGGAACATGGATTCTCTAACACACTCCTGGTAAGAAAGTACACAGGCACAGCATTTAGAGAAGCCTTGGCAGTATGCTTCAGCAGCCTTTAAAACTAATCCTACTTCAGGTATTTATTCTGAAGAAAAATTAAGGACGTGTGCAAACGAGCCTTTTCATTTAGCATTGCTAATAAGCCAAGCCAAGACAATTAATTGGTTGAGTAAACCATGGCATATTTAGTGATGAAACTACACATTTGTTAAAACTGATGTTGAAGTGCACATAATATGTTGTCATGGGAAAGTACATTATTAGTGATTATATTTTTGTGAACTGGAAAAAATACTACAGATTGTTACTGAGGAGTGGGATTACAGACGATTTTAATGTTCCTTTTCTCATTTGCTCCAATAAATATTTACTTGTAGCATTTTAAAATGGCAGTTTGTGTCGAGAGGGAAATTTTGTTGAAAAGGCAAAATCTATAAGTGGGGCTATTAATGGCTGATTATATTTTAAAATTTGCTGATTATTCGGGCAGCCGGGTGGCTCAGTTGGTTAGAGCACGTGCCCTTAACAACAAGGTTGCCAGTTCAACTCCCGCATGGGATGGTGGGCCGCGCCCCCGCAACTAGATTGAAAATGGTGACTGGACTTGGAGCTGAGCTGCGCCCTCCACAACTAAGATTGAAGGACAACAACTTGACTTGGAGCTGATGGGTCCTGGGAAAAACACAGTGTTCCTCAATAAGGTTAAAAAAAAAAAAATGCTGATTAGTATAATCAGTGTGCTCCCTAGCCTGTTTAGAAAATGGGAAAATTTTCAAAATGTCAATAAATGCAGAAACTAATAAATTGAATACCCCCATACTTAATTTTATCAAATCTTAACATTTTGCCATATTCGTTTTGATCTTAAAAAATAAATCATAGATACAATAGAAGCTTACTTACGAACTGAGCTCTCCTTTATTCCATCTCTACCCAGAGGATCTATGTCTATAAATCATATAGTATGATTTAGGAAGTTTCAACACTTTATGCAAATGTTATTGATTTTAATTTTCCTTCTGTAGCTTGATTTTTTGCTTAATATATTTTGGGGCACATGTCCTAGTTGATACATGTAGCTCTAGTTTATTCAATTTCTGTATAGTATTTTGGCTAATTAGAATTTACCTGTATGTATTTTGTACTGGTGGACAATTAAGATGGTTTCCAGGTTTTGTTAATATAAACCATGCTGCAGGGGCCGGCCGAGTGGTTCAGTTGGTTAACAGTTGGCTTAAGAGCACGAGCTCTGAGCAGCAGGGCCACCAGTTCGATTCTCACATGGGCCAGTGACGCTGCGCCCAAGCTGAGCTGTTGCTGAGCTCCCAACAGGTGGCAGGATGGCTCAGCTGATGTGACAAGATTGCCTGTTTGATGGTGGGCTATGCCCACCCGCAACTAAGACTGAACTTGGCACCTTGAGCTGAGCCGCTGCCCAGATGGCTCTGGATAGAGCGTGTGCTCTAAACAACAAGGCTGCTGGTTCGACTCCCGCATAGGATGGTGGCTACACCCCCCCGCAACTAAGAATGAACACAGCACCTTGAGCTCTTGAGGCCACGAGCTGCTGACGGGCAGCCAGATGGTGACTGGCGCCCTCCACAATGAAGATTGAAGAACAACCACTTGGCTGGTCCCCTTCCCCAATTCCTAAACACTGTATCCCTCCCCCAATTCCCCAATTAAAAGAAAATAATTTATATATACATATATATATATATATCATGCTACAGAGAAATGGGTGAGAGTTTGTTTAGGTCCAGAAATGGAATTGCTTTATCGTAGGGTGCATGTAATTTCAACTTTACTAGATATTGTCAAATGCCCTTCTAAGAAGCTATTTCCAGTATATGCTTTCACCAGCAACAATGTAAGGTATTTCTCATTTTTTTCATATCCTCTCCCACTTTATATTATCAGACTTAATTTTTGCCAGTCTCATGTGGTGAAGTAGTATTTACTTAATTTGCATTTCCTCAATTAGTAGTGAGGTTGAACATACTCTTTTATGAATTGTGTTCATATCTTTTGCTCATTTATGTTGAGCAAAACCTATTGTTTCTTATTTATATTTCTTTCTTTTCCTTATACTAATTCTTTGTTGGTTGTGTACATTGCAAATAATCCTCCCCTTGTCTCTAACTTGTTTATGGAGTCTTTTGTTGGAAACGAGTGTTTTGTTTTTGTTTTTATTTTTTTAGCTGAGCCATCCTGCCACCTGTTGGCAGCTCAGCGGCTGCTCAGCTCGGGCCGGGCATCGAACCGCTGTTGCTTAGAGCTCACACTCTTGAGTGAGCTCTTAACCAACGGAGCCTCTCGGCCAGCCCCGAGTTTTTAATTTTAACTCAATCATTTATTAATCTCTTGTGTTTTTTTGTCCCCACTGTTTCAAGGTCATAAAAACACTATCTTCTTCTAAAGGTCTTTAAAAGTTTTGCTTTTTACACAGGTTTTTAATCTATCTAAAATCTAGTTTTGTGGATAACCACTTTTGACAGCATAATTATTAAACAGTATGTTCTTTCTGTATAAATTTTTATTGCTACCTCTATCCTAAATAAAGTTTCTGTGTATGAATGGACTACTCTTTTGTTCCATGATCTGGTTGTTAATTCTTGCTCCAGTACTCCAAGTTATAATTTATTGTATTTTTAAAATATGTCCTCCTACCTTGTTTCTTAAAAGTGACTTTGCTCTTCTTGGCACTTTGCTCTTCCACAGTAATTTAAAAATTAGTTTGCTAAGTTCCATGAAAAACCCTTTGAGATCTTGACTGAAATTGCATTAAATTTTTAGAGTAACTTGAGAAATGCCATCTTCCTGATTTTTGAGTCTTTCCAGCCATGAACTTTTTTTTTTTTTTTTTTAAGATTTTATTGGGGAATTGAGGAAGGAGAACAGTCAAGTTATCCTGTTTTTCTTCAGTCTAGTTGTGGAGGACTTTGCTTCACTGGCCCATGTTGGTATTGTGATCATTGCGCTCCTCCCAGCTGAAGCAGATCGGTTGCCGGCCATTGGACGGCGGCTCACGCCAGCTGCCAGCCACTCACGGTAGCTTACGGCAGCCTACACAGTTGCCGGCGATTCATGGCAGACCAGCTCCAGGTCGAGCTGTTGTTCACCATCTTAGCTGTAGAGGGCGCAGCATCACTGGCCCATGTGCGATTTGAACCAGCGGCCCTGCTGCTCAGAGCTCAGGCTCCCAAGCCAACTCTTAACCAAAGAGCCACTTGGCTGGCCCATGAACCTTATTACTATCCTTCCAGTTACTCACTGTTCTCTTGTGTCTTTGCTTCATACAGTTATTACATGCCTTGTTTTTATTCCTAGGTTGCTATTGTTAGAATTGCTGTTGTGAATGAAATTTTTTCTGATACATTTACTAATCAATTATCTGGTGTATGGGGAATGTGATTGATCTAATTTTCTTGACCTTGATTCTAGCACCTTGCTGAACTCTAATAATTTGGGTTCTTCTGAATTTTCCCTGAGATAAATAGGGCAGTTTTATCCCTTCCTTTCCAATTTTCATGTTTTTTTTAATCCTATCTCATTTGTGTGAAAATCCTCCCTTTTTTGCATTTCATATTTTAAAATTGTCTTTAGGTACATACAAATGTATTACTTTTTTTCTTGGTGAATGCTTATCCTTTATGCATTGTTCCTTTTTATGCTTATTTGTGCTTTTTAGTTCTAATTAGTCTTTTGTTAGTATTTTCTTGGTGTATACTTTCTAACTTCATATATATGCATATATAACTTGGTGTATACTTTTTAACTTCAGCCTCTTTTGTAGTGTTATTTGAGTATCTGATGAACCAACTGATAGCTTTTAATCCAACAGATAACCCTAGTCTTTTGACATGTCATTTTACTCTTTTATAATTTGGCCCTACCTCAAGCAGGGAGCTTGACTCTGATCACTCATTTTGCATTTTAGTCCCCATCCTTAAGGAGCTAAACTTCCTGGCTTTCACTGCCTACTTTAACACCAAAGCCTGGTAGGCTCATGAGTTTAGCCTTCCATGCTACATTTCTGCATTGTTTCTGGACTTAAGAGATTTTTCTCTTGTTATATTTTATTCAGTATCATGACATATTTACTGCAAAGTGTGTATCATAGCATGAACTTACTATGCCATTTGGATGGAAGTCTTCTGTAGCCTTCCTAATCGCCACCTGTTGCTGGCTTTCCCCCTCTAGTTCCTTACTAAAGGAGCAGATGCTAAGGAAGCAGGCTGAATTAGAAGCAGCACAGTGCCAGCTCCGACTTCAAGTCCTCACTGATGAGTGTACTAAGCTTCATGATCGTGTCCAGGTAAGTGTGCCCTTTCTAATCCAAAAAGCTTGGGCTAGGAATTGAACAGTAATCTAAATATTACTTAGGTTCATCTCAGATACAAATAGGATTTATCAAATTTTTCAGCAAGTAAACATAACCGGTCATTTTCTGACTACGGCATTTGTCCAAAGCTTACATGCTTTATGATGAATTCTACCACAATCTGAATTTTTAAAACATAAACCTGATAATTCAAACTTGTTTAAGTCATTTCACCTATCTGAATCTAACAATAAAATGAGGGTTTTAAACGAAATGACCATTAAGGACTTTTCAACCCTACTGTTTTATGATTCTGTGCTCTCCTTATTTCGTTTGCTTATTGAAATACTGTGAAAACTGCAGCAATTTTCTAAGATTTCTGTTAACATTTTCATATAATGAATAACAAATCTTGTATTAGATCAAGGAATTGTGCATAGGGGAATAACGAATGAAAAAATTTTACATTTACAAAATCTTTTTCATTTTAGGACTTGCAAAAACTTATTCTGGAGCAACGGGATTGGATTTTACAGAAAGCCAAGGGCGGCAACATACGTGTCCTGAAGGGCCTGCCCTCCAGCCAGAGCAATCACAAGTATCATTTCCAGAAGACCTTCACAGTGTCTCAGCGTGGAAACTGCCGAACCATGACATACTGTGATGTTCCGAGCTGCCTGGTGGTATCACAGCCTTCTCCTCAAGCCTCTTTCCTTCCAGGTAAATGGTCCAGAACCTCAGCTTTCATGTTTATTATTGGACTCCTTTTATTTTTCTTCTCTCTTTTGGAAAATCTAGGACTCACTAGTGCGTGAACACTGTCCACAGCCCACCAAATCACCTTTTCCTAGTCAGTTTCCTGTTCGTGCAGATACTTTAAAGGGTGCTGCAAACACGTCTTTACTGTCTATTGACTTCATTCTGTAAATTTGAATCATAAACAGTTTTACTCTTTTTTTGTCTGGCTTCATTCAGCATAAGATTTTTGAGCTTCATCCATATTCTTTATATATGAGTTTATTCCGTGTTATTGCTGAGTAATACTCCATTGTGTGTATATACAATGGCTTGTCATTTACTTGTTGATGGATATTTGAAATGGAATATACTTTTTATAATAAATTCAACCCCTGAGAATTTTTGTTTGACCAGCTTTTTCCCAGGGACTTACATGTCAAGAAATGTGAACAAAGGAGCTACTTGGAAAGGTGGTTAGCTTTGCCCGAAGTTGACTTTCAGTGACCTATCTCACTCAATCTTATCTTTGGCAGGCTTTGGTGTTAAGATGTTGAGTACTGCCGACATGAAAAGCAGTCAGTACATTCCCTTGCATACCAAACAGATCCGCGGACTGGCTTTCAGCCTTCGGTCCAAAGGCTTACTTCTCTCTGCTTCCCTAGACAACACTATTAAACTGACCAGGTGAGTGCTCTGGGGAAGAAGATGGGGGACCTGGGCTGTTAATAGTGTTGAATACTATAGAAATTAATACCTGTGTTATGATGGCCTTAGCTTTTTTTTTTTTTTTTTTTGCCTGAGCATTGTCTTTTGAGATCTAGGTTCATTGAATTTAAAATGTATTGCTTTTGGACCGACCGAGTGGCGCGTTGGTTAAGAGTTGGCTTCGGATGCCAGCTCTGAGCAGCAGAGCCCCGGTTCGGATCCCACATTAGGTCCAGTGATGCTGCGCCTTGTACAGATAAGATTGTGAACAACAGCTCGACCTGGAGCTGAGCTGCCATTTGTCGCCGGCTACGGCGTAGGCTGTAGTGAGGCTGGCTGGCAGCTGGCATGCGCTTTCGTGGCTGCTGTGAACCGCCATGAGCGGCCGTCCAATGGCTAGCGAGCGACTGCCTCAGCCGGGAAAAGCGCAATGATAATACCAACATGGGCCAGTGAAGCGACGTCCTCCACAACTAGACTGAAGAACAAAAGGACAGCAACTTGTCTGTTCCTCTTCCCCGATTCATCAACGTTCTTCTTCCCCGATTCCCCAATAAAATCTTTAAAAAAAAAAAAATATGTATTGCTTTTAAAAGTGGACACAGCAGGTTACAAAACAATATGTTTAGTATCCCGTTTCTTTAAAATTATATATATTACACCATGGAGTCACCAAACCAGCTGGTGTGTTGTCCGGATCATTCTGCCTAACAGAAGTGCTCACTGGGAGCTCACACTCTTTGGGTGCCATTATGACTTCTCTCGTCAGTAACCCTGGATTACCACATTTTATCTTTCACATGCTCTGAGTGCTGTGAACAAATCTGAGAATGCTGTATGCCTTATCTTTTAGAAAGTAGCTCTGATCAGATATCTCTTTGATTTCTGTAGTTAAATCTGAGGGACATCGTAATACTACTATCAGGCCTTATAAGCCTGTTGACTTTTCAGGAATGCTTCAGCTTAATTTTGCCCCAAAACTCAATGTACCATTATGTTTTATATGTATATATGCTATGGTTTTTTTCTCAGTGTTAAAAAATAGGAGGAAAATGTTAAATACCTAAGTGTTATTAATGACTACCTCTGGATGTTTGGATTATAATTGATTTTTATTTTCCTTATATTTACAACACTAAATATGAATAGGTAATTATGGAGACGGTAATGGAAGTAGAGTGAGAATGTACAGTACTGTGGCTATGTTCCTTTAACTTATTCTTTTACTTCCTTATAGCTCAAGAGAAAAACTGTTCCCCTACCCCCAAAAAAATATTTTGGAATTGAAAGGAGTTATCTGGGCAGTCCCTAAACGAAGTTGGAAATCCAAATACTTTGGGTGTATGGGTGTGTTCTTAAAAGATCATCATTGAAATGATAATCTTTACACCTTTGTTATATATTTGATTTTCTTAATACATAATTGTAAAAGTCTCTTGTAACTCCACAGCCTGGAAACAAATACTGTGGTCCAGACTTATGATGCTGGACGTCCTGTCTGGAGCTGCTGCTGGTGTCTTGATGAAAGCAATTACATGTATGCTGGATTGATCAATGGTTCAGTTCTGGTATATGACCTTCGAAACACAAGTTCTCATGTCCAGGAGTTAGCACCTCAGAAAGCCAGGTAGGGAGCTACTCACTTTTTCCCTGTAGGTAGCGTCTTTCTCTGGACTATTGTAATAACCCTCTCGAGAGTGTTTCAAACTTGGTCAGAATTCCTCACCGAGGGCAGTTCTCTGAGTCCACTGATGTATTCTCTCTTAATAGAGTTTTGTGTTCATGATATTTCACATGGTAGAAAGCTCTGGTACCAAGTGTAACCAGGTTCACAGAGTCACTCATCACCCAACATGGCAAAATGAAGTCAGACCTGTGTTCAGAACCCAGCTCCACTATTGTATGAGCTGTGTGATCTTGGTCCTGTTTTTTTGTTGTTGTTGTTTTGGCCTGTTGTGAGCCTTAGCTGTCAAATATGGTTAGCATAGACTAATATAGCCATATGTCTAACACACAGTAAAGAACGGTAAATAATAGCCCAATAAAAAACTAAAACTTCCCTAATCCACAGCTAAACCAGTGTGGTCTAAGGATACCATATTACTGTGACTTAGCATTTATAATCCAGTTATAGAGTTGCGAGGTTTGCGAAGTTGGCCCAAGTTTTGAGGGTGAATGGCCACCAGCACTACTGTGGCTCTTCAGAATGTGTTGAGTACCATTTGGGCACAGAGGCATAAAATTCTCAAAGGGAGAGTGGAATCTGTGACCTGGGCAAAAATGAGAAGTGTGTTAAGAGGGAATTTGCATTTCTAATTGAATATATATTAAAGGGGGCAGCAGGATCTAAATTTATTATAAAGCGATCACTACAGTAATAATTATTTACTGAAACCTCAGCTCAGCACTTTGGGGTTTTCTTTTCATTTGGTGGGGTAGAATCATGCTTTGGTAATGTGGTCTGTGGGCCTAAAGATGGTTGATGTAAACTTATACAAATGTGAACTTCAGGCAAACAAGGTAACTGCCATTGATGTAGAGGGACCTACATGGAGTAGACAATAAAACACAGTAAATAGCAAGGAAAGAATGTTTGTATGTACTGTTTATCTTTGTTTCAGTTTGTTTTCATTAAATTTATTGTGACAGGGAAATGCAGTAAAGCAGGCAAAGTGATTGCTTTGGCAACTTCAGTAGAAACGAGTTCTTAGGAACATAACCTGCAGGCTAATATTCCTGAGACAGTTCTTGGCATAGTCCTGGTCATATACTTGCAGAAAGAGATTTAGAAAATCTCTAAAGAAACAGTCCTGTTCCTGAATTAAAATGTAGTTGCTTTAGGGTATATTTTAATTGTGGTGTCTGTCAACTACACCTTGGAAGCTTTATTTTATTAAATGTGTAAGCTGCATTTCCTTTCTGACTTTTCTTGTACATGTGGCTAACCCTATTTCGAGAAGCTCACACCAATCAAGCTTTCTTGTCATTGTGATCTTGTACTATTTAATTTCTTAGTCCATTTTTTTCTTTGCTTTTAGAGCATGTGGTGGTGTTTCATTTGAAATTGGATGTAGAATGTTACATGTATGCCCTTTTATTTCTACAGAGGGGTTGGTCATTTTTATCAGATGTCAGAGGGTAGAGACTCACAGAATGTTTTAAACCTCTTCTGTAGAGGTAGGAATGATTGTGCTTGAAGGCCTCCTGGTAATGGGGTCTGGAGCAGTCCAAGTATTAGTATGTGAGGCATGGTTTCCTTTCTCTTTAGATGCCCTGTGGTGTCCCTCTCATACATACCCAGAGCTGCCTTGACTGCATTTCCATATGGTGGAGTGTTGGTTGGAACCTTGGAGAATGCGTCCTTCTGGGAGCTAAAAATGGGCTTTTCTCATTGGCCTCATGTGCTGCCCATGGAGCCAGGGGGCTACATAGACTTTCAGACAGAGAATAGCATCCGACACTGTCTTGTGACCTACCGGCCTGGTGAGTATTGGGATGCCCTCATGGGACCGCCTGTGAATTGTTTGGGAGCAGATTGATAGAGGAGAAGAAAGAGTTTTTTCTGCCCTTCAGTGGTGCTGGTAAACCCCTCACAGAAGAACAGCTCTTATTACTACAGTGAGGATGATGGCCCCAAGTTTCTTCATAGAGCCTGCCTCCCAGCTCCTCTGAACTGGGACAAATTCTGCCAGGTACTCCCTGAGGGTAAATTAGCCACTTTAGGAGCCCCTATGACTTAAAACAGTAATGGAATGAGAAGGCCTGCTCTTAAGGCCATTGAGTTACCCTCAGATCAGTTTCATGTCTTCTGCCTGCCCCTCACTTAAGAGAAAGGCTCAGATGAAGGCAGCCGTATAGGGCCCAGATTAGGGTATTAGCTGTTCCTTCTTATTTAGGGTCAACAAAGGTAAGTAAGAGAGTAGATGAACAACCATGGTTATGTGGGCCTAGCCAGCTGAACTTCTCACTGCCTCCAGCACCAGGGGTGGAACCCCTGACAATAAACTGCTTAAATTCACAGGTTGTTCCTAGCCTGAAAGGTATGAATCTAAATTCCTGATGAGCTGTACTGATGGTCAGGCAGATGTTTCGCCAGAGATAGTCATTAAAGTGCCCATAATTGTGCTAGTTGTGGGTAGATGTAACCCTTTTAAGTTTTGTTTGAGCTGAAAAGTTGCCTCCGCAGACTCTTCTGGCCTTTTGATTTATGACCCTTAGTCATTTCATAGGTCCTTTTTCTCCAAGGCTGTGATTTTGCTGTGACTTGTGTAGAAAACTTGGGGGTCCCATTTTATTCTCTAGCTTTTGTTTGCCTCCCAGCAGAACCACAGGTATATGTTTCCCTTCTATAATAATATGCTTTCACTTTATAAAAATGTACAATTCCAAGAGCTAATGGGGTCCTCAACTGGGGGAAATAAAAAAAAAAATTGTAGTCAGAACTTTTCAGAAAGATAAAAACCCAAGCAGAGGTATGGTAGGATACAGTAATTTTACTAAAAAGGTTAACTGCTTCAGAATTGTTTCCCTCATAGGCAAAACCTATTATAGATAGCTTGCTTTACCCTAACCTAGGGTTCTGAATTTCATTTGTGGTATGTATTTTGTTCTTGTTATTATGTTTGCTTTGTAGCTCTTGATGGTTTAATAAATTTTGGCTTTTCCACTCAACTAGGTTGTAAGTGTCTGAGGTTCAGATATTTGGTTAATTTCCTTGGACCATTCCATGGAGCAACACATTTCTTTGTCCCATAGATAAAAATCACAACACCTTACGAAGTGTGCTGATGGAGATGTCTTACAAGCTAGATGACACTGGAGAACCAGTCTGCTCCTGCCATCCTGTAGAGACATTCCTTGGGGGACCTACTTGCAAACTACTGACCAAAAATGCCATTTTCCAAAACCCAGAGAATGACGGCAGCGTCCTGGTGTGTACTGGGGATGAAGCATCAAATTCTGCCCTGGTGAGCTTATCATATTTTCTACAGAAATGTATAAAGCAAAAAGCCAAAGTTTTGCTCCATGATTACTCATATTATCATATGTGTGTGTATTTATAGTTGCTTACTTTATTTTTTACATGAGCCACACTTTATATTCTGCCCTGTGGTTTGCTCTTTTCCCATTTAACCTCCTTTTGTGGATATATTTTCATTTCATTGTCTGTAGATTCACCTCATTCTTTTTATATAGGCTAAAGTGTTCCATTGGCCTTTAAAAAAAATTTAAAAGACACTACTGAAACCCCTGTAAAATAATTGATTCAGGCATCAGCTTCATCACTTCAGGGTGAAACCAACAGATGAAAGGTTGGTGAGGAATTTCATAGTGGAGGGGTCAGCCTGTCACCACTTGAACACATAGGTCAACCTTACATCACTATAAGTGGGCTAACCAGAGATAATTTGCCTCTTTTTTAAAAAAGATTTTTATTAAAATATAGTTAACATACAATATTATATTTCAGGTGTACACCATAGTTACTCAACATTTAATGTATATACCTAAAGAAGAAATCACCATAAATCCAGCTACTATCTGACACTATACAATGCTTTCATATTATTGTTTATATTCCCTATTCTGTACATTACATCCCTATGACTTGTTTTATACCTGAAAATTGAACCTCTTATTCCCCTTCACCTTTTTTCCCCATTTAAAAAATTTTTCAATTACAGTAATAATTTGCCTCTTAATGTAAGGCAGTATGAATGAAGCACACAGAGCCTTTGATGAGATGTCCTTGAACCAGAGTCCAAGCCATAGCGCACGATATCCAATATAGTGACATGAGTCACATGAGCACTTGAAGTGTGGTTAGTTTGAATGAAGAACTTAATTTTAAAATTTTTCTTTATATATAAATAGCCTTATGTGGCTAGTGCCCACCATATTGGGTAACACCACCTTAGAATCTAGTGCTTTCTTTTACTGGAATTCAGAGGCTAGAGGAACAAGTTAAATAATAGCACAGAAAGCAAACAGATAAATCTGGGTTGTGGACTTCCTGTAGAACAACTAACCCAGCTTCCGCAACAAGTTAGTGGCAGAAGAAAAAAAATGGGGAGGTTGGATCTGCTTTAGATTAAACGACTTAATTAAATTTATAACTGCCTATTGTAATGTGGACCTTATTTGGATCCTGATTCCAACAAACCAAATGTAAAATGATAGTGTCAAAAAATTTTGATTATGCACTAGGTGTTAGATAATACTATGAAATTGTTCATTTGAGGTGTAAGAAAATTTCTTGTTTTAGAGATGCATACTTAAGTATGTAAGGGTAAAATGACATGAAGCCAGCAGAAAAATAGGATCAAAGCAGGTGTAGTAAAAGGTTAATAACCTGGGTAATGGGTTACTCATTGTACTATTCTACTTTTTAATACTTTTTTTTTTCATAATAAAAATCTTTAAGAAGGAAAAGAAAGCACCAGTTAGGAGATAGGTTCCATGAGGGCAGGGACAGAGACTTTATCATATTGTCCCTTCTGACCCTAGAAGACTGTCCAGCACATAAAGGATGAATGATAGGCTTGGTTTTCAGATCTATTCACAGGTAAATTAATGCCTGATTACAGTAGGTGCAGCCATACCTGGATCATGTCAGGTGTAGTGACTTTGTGCAACCTTGTGGGGGTTAGGGCAATCTGCCCTGCTCCTCGGGCAATGCTGTCTACATCTCTTTCAAAGTTGATGAGAAAGAAAGCAAGTCCCCCAGCTAAATGGAATGACTCCTTACCTTTTATCTTTGTTTCCCTTAGATATGGGATGCTGGCACTGGCTTGTCGCTGCAGGAACTGCGTACTGATCAGCCTGTCTTGGACATCTGCCCATTTGAGGTGAACCAAAGCAACTTCTTGGCTACCTTAACAGAAAAGATCGTCTCCATCTATAGGTGGGAGTGACTCTGGTCTTGAAACTTACCAGGCATGCTGCTGGTTAATGTTAATTGTTGTTTGCTAGCACTCAGCAGCCTTGAGCAAGATCCCAGCCTGTTGTCTGTGGCCTAGAACTGTTGGGAACATGGTTCCTTTGGATTAGTATGATTCTCAGACTCCAAGTCAATGAAACAGTACAGCTTGTATATTTGCTGTGCCCATGAACGATGTAAGTGACTGGTACTCTGTCTACATTATTCATTTCTTGAGTTAAAAGCCTTAATGAATCTTTGTTGAGAATCTGTATTTTCACTCAGACTGTCTGCTGAACCTCAGAGTATCCTCCCAGCAGTCATTTAGGATATGATTGTGCACCAGCCATTTTGTAGGACATGTGACACTCTGCTTGAGTGGCCTTGTCACTTGGGCTGTTTGGTTTGGGAATGCTCTGGAGGGACTGACTAACAACCATCTTGATGCAGCTTGGATGCAGCGAGGATACGGAAGTCTTCAGTTGAACACAAGAGGGCACTATAGAACCTAGCATAGGATTTGATCTATTGGGTTGTTGGAAGAGTCATGACGTATTTTTCTGTTTTTCGTTGCAAAAATGCGTCATGACTTTTCCGAAAACTCAATATTTCTGACCTTGTGGGCTGACAACCTTTTAATAATTTGGTCTCATCCTCACAGAGTTATGTGGTAAAACACATCTATCTGATATGCTTTGTGGCAACCAGTTATGTGCCGGGTGTGCAGTGCTGGGATGTTGACAAGCCTAATGACGGAGGAGCTATAGACACTTTCCTAATGCTGAGTGCATTATGTTCATAGCATTTGTGGGAGCCAAGGAAAGAGACGGGTTGTTTGAGCAGTGGGGAAGACTCATTTTTTTTATATAGGCCAGCGCTTTGAAGACCACTCCGTTTCCCTCTCACTGGGAAAAGATGAGTGATGTGTTAAAGCTCTTATTTGAGTCTCCTAGTATCATATCAGGAGCAGTGGGCTAACTAAAAGAGACTTAGAAAAGAGAAGCAATTCAGACTGCTGCTGAAAACGGGAAGGGCTTGTCTCTTCCATTCTGATAAGTGTTCCATCTGAATAAAGCCAACCCTTCAGAGTGAGGGACTGTTCCTGAGCATGTTTAGAATTCCCGTGTAAAGCCTTCCCCATGTGAAACTCAAGTTTGATTCCAAGTTCCTTTGATTTGCCTCCCTTCCTAACCTTTTCTAAAAATATTGTTAATTAAATGGTTATTCTCAGGAAGATAATAGTGGTTTGTAGACCTGTGAATTGCAGGGAGATGTCCACCAACTTTCATTTTAACCCTAGATTGTCCTACTTTGGGTGCTGCATTTTTCTCCAGTAGAGGGCTCAATTTATATGTCTTTGCTTTGCTTAAGGCTACTCTGCTAAACAGCTCCCTACAATGAAACATGCCTCAAGGTGTGAATGGTCAGTGCACAGTTCTTGGGAGCAAGATGGCTAAGAGTGTGATTTTCTTAAGTAATTGTTATAGAAATGTTATTTTTATTTTAAAATAGTTCTGACCTGTCAGCTGCTGAGCTGTTTATAGCATTTGTCACCAGCAAGGGGTTATTGCAGTAGATTTACCCAGAGTTCCAAGTTCTAGTTGTGCCTTTTAAAGTGTGGCCTCCTATTTAAGGATGTCTTTCAAAAAGTCAGTTTCCAGGGCCTGGGAAAGAGCCCCCTTTTATCAGAGGAGATATTCCTTTTGATATGACTGTCCTGGCCTAGAGTTTCAGTGGCAGAATGGCATTTGAATTAAAAAGCAGAACTCATCTTGTTTCAGCAGATTGTCACAGAGAGGGATGCAAGTGGTCTGACCCTGGCTGCCTTTTGTCTTGGGCAGGGTTAGGATTTGACTGGCTTTGAAGTATACACAATGGATGCTGATTGATTCCCCTAAGTGTAGGAACCAAGGGACTTATTACCAGGGAAGCTGGGTGAATCGCCTCTTGCCAGTCCTTGCATTCCTTTAGTAAATTTGGATGTTTTAGAAAAACCAATTTGTGTGACTGTTTTCTCCAAACGAAGAAACTTTACCCCCAGCCACTCCTGCCTGACAGGAGATTGCATCTGTAGATGCAGGCTCTGCCTCACCAAGTTTCCTCATTCCTGTCTCTAAGGTTGTTTTCCCATTTGAGGATTTGGAGTTAAGCAAACTAAAAATATCTTGTCATTGTATATGTCTTTGTACCTGTTTTAAAAACAGGGCAGTGAGATCTCTGCTCGTTTCATTCAGATCTATGTTTGAATATTTGTGTTTTATATTTTAATGTTAATATGAAAATAAAGAATTTGCCAAGTGTAACAGCTCCTGGTGTCTTTTGTTTCTTTGACGGCCTCTTGGGAGAGGGCTATAATCCCAGCCTGGTAGATATCTCCAATTCATGCAGTTCTAGGTCTGAGTTACATAGGATGGTGGTCCCTGGATCTGGAGTAACCATCTTATTTAAATTGATGAGGTAGTTGAGACTTTAGCTGGCAATTCTGTTTTACTGTTGCTACTAGAAAGCTGTGAGTTTGCCTCTTAAGAACTCCCCTTCACTGGTCATTTGTCTATTTACTATCAGATCTATGGCTCTAAATCCTACAAATTCTATTTCTCAGACTCCCTTTGTCTGTTTGCTTCCTGTTAGTTTCTTTGAATCCAGGAGACTAATTTGGGAAGATGAGAGAAGAGGAGATGACTTACCCTTTATTTCTTTTAGTCTTTGGCAGCACTCCTGATGGTGACAACAGCATTGTGTGGGCTCCTGGGTTCCTGCTCAGTGCATTCTGCCACTTGCCTCAGTTTCTTCTGTTTACTTCAGGAATTTCTATTGCCATAAATCATGGTGTTCAGGGATTAGACTGGAAAGGCTGAAAATGTTTTCCAGCTGAATAGCAAATGGAGTATATACTAGATTCCAGGAGGACTGAATTCCATAAGTAAAGCTTACTGTTGTCATAGAGCCTGGTGCTCCAGCAGAAAATGACCTAAGTCCTGGGGTAGAAGTAAACCCCAAATTACTAAGAAGCCCAACAACATTGTCTTCTCTTCCATTGTACCTTTTGTTTCCCATCTCAGTGATTGGCTGTAAGTGTGAAATTCTGAAAATAGATGTTTGTGTCCTTGTCCTTTAATCAGTCAATTTCTATTAACAGTCTCTGCTGTTTATCCCTTTATAGCTTACAAAGCCCCTTCCCAATATATTTTTAAGCAATATTGTAGAATTAAGTATTGTTATTCTAATTTATAGAGGAAGAAGGTTAAAAACCCTACTCTAGGAAAGTGACATTTAGATGGCATTTTATTAAATTTTACATATTATAGTCTTTCCATTTTATATTTTGCATTATTGACAGCTAAGCAGGAGTTGGGAAACCTAAGTGAAAGCTCACTTTCACTCTTTGATATCTGTCTCCAGAACAGCCTGGGAGCCTGGGAGCCTGGGCTGATTCCTCACAATTTATTTCTCCTACATTAAAATGAAAACAGACAGTTATGCACATTACTGTGACTCTTTCCACTCTTCCAGATGCCCTCATTTGTCTTGGGTTTCTGGGTGCTGATACTGAAAACACCACTGTCCAGTGAAAGTGTCCATGACACATGGACTAGAACTTACCACCTTATCAGAGCTTATCACAGAGGTCAACTGAAGAGGGAAAGAAAGAAGGTGGTGGAGCTGCTCTGATTTGTTCTCAGAGTTCCTTAAAAACTATGGAGTAGCAGCTCGCCCAACCTGTGTGGAGAAATAAATCTGGGGCACAAGGGGTGGCATATAATGGTCATGAAAATAGGTCTCTTATGGGCTGGCCAAGTGGCGCAATGGTTAAGAACTGGCTTGGGAGGGCCGGCCGAGTGGCACGATGGTTAAGAACTGGCTTGGGACGCCAAAGGGCCCCGGTTCAGATCCCACATATGAGGGCCAGTGACACTGCCCTCCACAGCTAAGATGCTGAACAACAGCTCAACCTGGAGCTGGGCTGCCATGAGTCGCCGGTGACAGCATAGGCTGCAGCCCCTGTGGCAGTGGGTTGCCATGGGCTACCATGGGTAGCCAGCAGCCAGCGTGAGCGGCCGTCTAGAAGCTGGTGACTGATCTGTCTCGCCCGGGAAGAGCGCAACGATGGTGCCAGCTTGGGCCAGTGAAGCAACGTCCTCCACAACTAGACTGAAGAACAAAAAACGACAGCAACTTGTCTGTTCCCCTTCCCCCAATTCCCCAGCACTGTTCCCATCCCCCCAGTTCCCCAATAAAAAAATCTTTTATTAAATCAATCAAATAAAAAAATAAAAGGCAAAGTTTCTATAAAAAAAAAAAAAGAAAATAGGTCTCTTAGATCAACTGTGGCAAGTGTAATTGACCAACATCCCAGCTGCTGTTCTCTGAAATCCATCATTTCATTCACTCAGAGGCCACACTCCTCAAATGTTGTTCCCAACCAGTGACAGCATGGCAGATGCTAAAGCAGGCCAACTCCTGGGATGCTTTCATCTAATAAGTCGCTTCTATAGCTAATGCTGTCGAGATTGCTTCTCATAGAACCCAGAATAAACTACCAGCAGGCAAATATTGGAGTAGATAACGAAACACAGACAGACAAGGTTGGTTCTCCTAACTACAGTGCTATCCCCAAGGCAGAAATTACATAGAAAGTGCTCAGAAAATAATTGCTGAATGAATGAACAAATATAAAACTGACAAGTTGACAAGGGGTACAAGAGGCTTCAAAAAATTGAGACTTGAGATGAGCATTAAAGGATAAATAATTTTAAGATGTGTTAGAACTTAATGGGTTAATGTCACTTCTATTTGATCTTGAAATCTTGGATATAGCAGAGGTCAGAAAGTTGCCGGAGGAAAGGGAGCCCACCAATGCAGTCCTGCGCTAAAGCAGTAGTTACCAAAGACCGATGGACCAGTACTGGCTTAGTTGTTGGGAAAGGATATTCCTGGATATGATAATCAGAAAATTTTGAAAATTGTTTCAGGTGATTCAGCTACACAGTCAAGTTTGGGAAAGTATTCCTATACTTTTGAAGCTGCCATAATCCTCAAATTGGAAAGATGATAAAAAGTAAGTGGGCGAGGAGGGGGAAGTGCTCTGTCCAGTCACCTCTTTTCCTTACTTGGTGAAAAGAGCAACTAGCGGGCCTCAGGAAGTAGGAACCTTTCAGCCATTCAGCATTGGGGAGAGTAGGTTGGCCAATTCAGTAATGTCTTCATTGACTGTCCTCTGTGCCCAGCATCGTTTTGAGCACTGCAAGGGTAGCTGTGAAGTAGTTGAAGACTCCAGCTCTTGGCTTGATTAAATCACAACCCTCCAATAGTTTTTCCTATCGCGCTTAGATTTCAATAAACTTAAACCTAATGCAATTGTTTTCTATTATCCCATGTGTTCTTTGTTGCTATATTTCCATATTTTTTGCCTTCTTTTGGATTAATCAATTGCTTTTTATTCCAGTGTTTTTTTCTATTAGTTTTACACTTAAACATTTTTGTAGTAGTATTTTCGTGTTTACTGTAGACTCCAGGGCCTAGAGGTTACAATCTGCATTCTTGATTATGTGCTATGGGAGTTATATATTTCACTGTTAAATATAAGTCCCTAGTTGTTTAGAACAATGTCTGTTGTCCACATATTTACCCTTTCAGTGCTTTTTATTCCTTCCTGCAGTCCTATATGCTTCCATCTAGGATGATTTTCTTTCAGCCTAGAGTAATGCAGGTCTACAAGCAGTGAATTATCTCATTATTTCAGCTTTAGTTTGTCTGCAAATGTCTTTATTTCACTTTTTTTAAATAGACTGAATTGTATTTAAAAAAATTTTTTGAGATACAATTCATATAACATAATTCACTATTTTAACCATTTTTAAGTGTATATTTTAGTGGTTTTTAGTATATTCACAATGTCAAGCAATCATACCACTATATGATTTCAGAATATTTCCATCACCCCCAAAAGAAATCCCATACTTCTTAATTCTCTCCCTCCCCGCATCTCCTGGAAACCATGAATCTACTGTCTTTGGATTTGCTTTTTTGGGATATTTCATGTAAATGCAATCATACAATAGGTGGCCGTTTGTCTCTGGTTCTTTCACTTGGCATGTTTTCAAGGTTCATCCATGTTGTGGTATGTATCAGTACCTCATTGCTTTTTATGGCTAAATAATATCCCATTATGGATGTATGGATATATCACATTTTATTATCCATCAATTCATGGACATTTGGGTTATTTTCACTTTGGGGCTATTATGAAAAATGCTTCTATGAACATTTATGTACACATTTTTGTGTGAACATGTTTTCAGTTCTCTTGGGTATAACCTAGAAATGGAATTGCTGGGTCATATGGTAACTCTTACATTTCACTTTTTGAGGAATTGCCAGTTTTCCACAGTGGATGTACTATTTTACATTCCCACTAGCAATATATGAGGATTCTAATTTCTCGATATGCTTGCCAATACTTGTTATTGTCCATTTTTTTTCTTTCCTTTATTAAAACTATCCTAGTGGGTATGAAGTGGCGTCTCATTGTAGTTTTGATTTACATTTCCCTTATGACTTCCCTAATTGAGCATCTTTTCATGTACTTATTTGCCCTCTGTATATCTTTTGAGAAATGGCTATTCAAATTTTTGCCAATTTTAAAATTGGATTGTCATTATTATGGTTATAAATGTTCTATACATATTTGGTATACTAGACTCTTATCAGATATATGATTTGTAAATATTTTCTCCCATTCTGTGGGTTGTCTTCACATTCTTGTGTCCTTTATGTGCACAAGTTTCATTTTGATGAAGATCAACTTATCTATTTTTTTTGTTGCTTGTGCTTTTCATATATTTAATTTACTTAATTTTTGAAGGTAGAATTCTAGGTTAGCAATGGTTTTTTTCTTTCAGTATTTAAATTATGTCATTCCACTGTTTTCTGGCTTCCATAGTTTCTACTAAAAAATCAGATATCATTGTTATTGCTTCTTTGAAGATAATGTGTTTTTCTGCTTTTAAGATTTTCTCTTTGATTTTCAGCAGTTCCACGATGACATGCCAAGATATGGTATTCTTTGTATTTACCTGCTTGGGCTTCATGGAACTTCTTACCTATAGGTTGATATCTTTCATCAGTTTTGAGAAATTCAAAGCATTGTCTCTTTAAATATTGAACTGCACCAATCTCTTTCTCCTCTCCTTTTGGGACTCTAATTACGTTGGAATTTTTGACTGTTCCATTTATCTCTTACACTCTGTTCTTTTTTAAAAAATCTTTTTTCTTTTTGTGCTTCCTTTTGGATATTTTCTATTGACCTCTTTACCTTCAATAATTCTGTCCAACACTATAGACTGAATGTGTACCCCCAAAATTCATACATCGAAACGTAATCCCTAATGTTAAGGTATTTGATGGTGGGTCCTTTGGAAGGTGATCAGGTCATGAGGATGGAGCCCTTGTGAATGGCATTAGTGCTCTTATAAAAGAACCCATAGAGCTCCCTGGTGCTCTTTCACCATGTGAGATTATAACAAGAAGACGGGCTGCCTATAAACCGGGAAGTGAGCTCTCACCAGACACTGAATCTGCTGGCACTTTGATCTTGGACTTCCCAGCCTCCAGAACTGTGAGAAATAAATTTCTATTTATAAGCCACCCAGTCTATGGTATTCTGTTATAGTAGCCTGAACAGACTAAGACATCCAGTCTGCTGTTCAAGTCATCTAATGAATTTTAATTCAGTTCTAGAATGTCCATTTGATTATTTGTATAGAATCCAATTCTCTGTTGAAATTTCATTTCATCTTTTTTTCTATTATTTTCTATAACGTATTAGTCACAGTTATTTTAAAGTCCTCATCTGACATGTCTAATACATGAACCATACGGAGTTTGATTATGTTGACTTTTTCTTTTTGGTTTCGGTTATTTAGTTCAGTTTTCTGTTTTGTTTTTAGCGTGCCTCACCCTTTTTTATTCAATGTTGGACCATACCGATTAAAAATGTAGAGGCTCTGGATGATGTTTTCTCTCTCCAAAATGTTTGTTTTCTTCTTGTAACAGAGGTACTAGTGTGTCACCTTGACCACACTGTGGCATATTTGAAGCTTTATTAGGGTTAGCCTATCATAGTTTTGCCCTTTTTTCTAGGGCGAGTTCCTTATTCTTAAGGTGTTGTCCTTTCTCCTGGAGTTTGGTCTTTATTCCTAGGGTGTAATGCTTCTGAGACCACAGTTAAAAGCCCAGGTAATTACCAAGACCTATATACCTCAGCAGGGTTTAAACTCTAACTTCTGTTTCCCCAGTACTTATGGGCTATTAGAATCTCTGTTTTTCTCTCAGCTATTGTTTTCTTCTGGATCTGATGGAGTCTCACACTATATATGCACAGCTTAGGAGTCAGCCAGTGACCTGAGAGAAATTTGTTCACAGATTTTTGGCTCTTTCTCTGGTTTCCTCTTCCAATGTTTTGACCCTTAAGTCCCTGCCACTTTGGGGGCTCTGAACTCCTACCTGTGTATTTTTAGCCCAGTAAAATTGTGACTTACTGCATGGACTTAAGTTTTTTAAGCCAAGTTACATCAAGTTTCTTAATGTAATTTGGACAGTACATTAAGAAAAAAAATCTGGGCTGAAGCACCCCTGTATACTTCCCTTTTCTCCTTTCCTGACTACACTGGTTACTTTCTAATCCCTCCCAAAGATATTTTATGTATCTTATCTAGCTTTTATAGTTTTATCTTAGTGAAAATGCAAACTCTCAGTCATAGTTAAAATCAATCCTCAATTACACGTGTATATTATATAAGGCCTACAGGGCCCTAAGGTCTGACCCTTGATCAGTTCTCTGACTCCTATTCCCCTCTTATTTCAGTTCAGCCACATAGGCCTTCATGTTGAATGCTTACTACCACGTCGGGGTCTTGAACTTGTTGTTAACCTCTGCATTTCGAACGCTTTTGCTGTGGTCTGAGTGTTTTGTGTCCCTTCCCTCTCCCCCTCCCCACCATTCTTACACTGAAATCCTAATACCCAATGTGACGGTATTAGGAGATGGGGCTTTTTGGAGATGCTTTGTTCATGAGAGTGGAGCTCTTATGAATGGGATTAGTGTTCTTATAAAAGAGACCCCACAGAACTCACTAGCTCCCTCCACCATATGAGGACACAGTGAGAAGTCAATAGTCTACAACCTGGATGAGGGCCTTTGCCACAATCCAACCATGCTAGCACCCTGATCTCAGACTTTCAGCCTCCAGAACTGGGAGAAATAAAGCCACCCAGTCGTGGTATTTTGTTAATAGCAGCCCGAACAGATCAAGACAACTTTGGATCCAGTTTTTTACATGGTTGTCATCTTTATGCTAATTGGCTCTTTTATCACTCAGAGACCCTTTCCTTAGCTGCCTTTATATAAAAGTCTCACCCTACACCAGTCACTTTATATAGCTTTTATTTTCTTCATAGTGCTTATCCTGTCTGAAATTATCTTGCTCTTTATTTACTGTCTTATCTCCCATATAAGCCAATTCTTGAGTAATGCCTGTAAAAAAAAAAAAATGCTCAGCAGATACCTGTTGAATGAATTTGGGGAAATGAGGACCGAAAAACTAAGGGTACAATAAAGGGTAAAATGAATTCCTAGTTTGTAACAGAGCTAGTGTATTTTATTTTGAAAAGTCGATGAGGCCAGGAGACCCAGGTTAGGCCAACTGTCTTTCCACTGACTTGGGGGTTTGTGCTTTATGTAAGGCTAGATTAGGTTTGCCAGCCACAGCCCGAGCTGGCCAGCTTCCCAGATTTCTCGTGTTTTCTTGCTTCTTGGTCACTGTGATTTCAAGATAAGCTCATATACTCCTCCCTATCTCCAGAAACAATCTGTGTCTGGGCATAGGGTTTCCTCACTGCAGGCTGAGATAGTCAGCTGCTGGCTTCTCTTAACAGATTGTCCATTTTTAGCCTTGAACCAGCTCGAAATAATCTCCCACTTGTCTGAGTACATGCAGACCCATCACTGAGAAGTAGTGATCCCTTAGTAACTTATAAAGAACTTCTGGTAATGTCTCTAACCTGAGACTTACCTATGCCATGTATCTGTTAATGAACATGTACACTAATCTGGTCTACTCTGGACTGCCTTAGTCAGTGCTCAAGGTTGGCAGCATCCTCATGACTATTTTATGGCAGTAGCAGAGGTGAGTTTTGGTGAAGATGCCACATGCCCTCATTCCCAGAGGTAGAGACCTGGTGTCAGCCACAGTGGGCAGTTTGTATCCCCCAGAATATTCTCAGTCTCTCAGGTTCTAGTTATATGATCTGGTTTTGACTGCCCTTTTACGTGTCAGGACAGCCAAAGTTGCATTTTTTAACACTTTTGACCACTTGGTATCCCATGCTCCAAGCTGCTGTCATTACCCAACATGCTGGATTGGAAGAATGGGATAAAAAGCACCAGGGCAGTGGGAAGCCCCGGGGATTGTGGTCCCAGGCTGGCAGAGTTCATCCTGGGCAGGTCATTTAACCCTACTATTACCATCTCTGTGCCATTCCTCAGTTGAATTAGAACCCAACCCAGGCCTGATGCATGGCTCAAATGACACAGTGGATGTGAAAGCGCTTTGGGAAGATATTCTCTCTCCTAAGGACAGAGAGGGGACTCTGGTGTGAGTTAGAACCACCAATCCCTGCCTAAAGTGCTGCATACAAGTCAGTAAGAACAGTTATCCAAGCACAGACAACCTGGGGACCTCAAAGATGTGTTTATTTTCTTTTCCTCTTAAACATGAGTTTAGGGCCGGCCAAGTGGCTCAGTTGGTTAAGAGCTCGCTCAAGAGTGTGAGCTCTGAGCAATAGAGTTGCCGGTTCGATTCCTGGCCTGAGCTGAGCTGCTGCTGAGCTGCCAACAGGTGGCAGGATGGCTCAGCTAAAAATAATAATAATAATTAAAATAAAATAAACATGAGTTTACGTTCTGGCTTACAATCAGGGCTCACGTGCAAAGGGCTTCACAGTTTATTTATGATGCTGGCTGTCACTTTTTGAATTCCATATTGTGGGCCAGGCACTTATCATTTCTAATATTCACAGTTATACTTTACATTAGAGTTCCTCCTCATACAATAGAGCTACTCTTCTTAGATGAGAAGAATGAGTCTGCCGAAGAGCAAGAGTCTTTTCTTATCCCCGGAACCTTTGCTCCTAACCCTGATTCAACTCTGCCTTCTCTGGGTAAGAAAGACTTTTGAAGCAGGTGTAAGGAAGCACGGAGAGATATAAGAAAAGGTTCTTAGATTCCGGAATATACCTACCTGATCGTGTAAAGTTCACTTCTACATTGAACGGGCAACGTACTCAACCGGCCATCTTGGTTGTGGCAACCCCAATGCCTTTTTACTTTTCTGTGACGACAACCAAGGTAATGAGGCAAAGCCGCCCTACTCAAGCTTTTTAAGGAGCACCAGGAACTCCCCCGACAAGGAGCGTGGCTTTCAGTCCAGGGCGTGGGCCGGTCGGGAGGGTGGCCTCCTCTCGGGCTCTGCTCCCAGTTTTGCTAGTCGACGCCGGCCGGGGTGGGGCTCGAGTGGGCCCCGCCGGGCCCCGCCTGCGGCCCCGCCCTCTCATTTAAATACGCGGCGCCCGCGGCTGCGTCGAGCTCGCCGCGGACCCAAGATGGCGGCGTGTGGACGTGTACGGAGGATGTTCCGCTTGTCGGCGGCGCTGCAGTTGCTGCTGCTCGCGGCGGCCGGGGCCCAGAAACTCCCGGGCCAGGGCAGCCACAGTCAGGGCCAGGGTCCGGGGGCCAACTTTGTGCCCTTCGTAGGGCCGGCTGGAGGTGGCGGGCCGGCAGGTCAGCAGCTGATCCAGCTGCCTCACTCATCTCAGCTCCAGCAGCAGCAGCAACAGCAGCAGCAACAACCGCCCCAGCAGCCGCAGCCGCCTTTCCCGGCGGGTGGGCCTCCGGCCCGGCGAGGCGGAGCGGGGCCCGGCGGGGCTGGCGGGGGTTGGAAGCTGGCAGAGGAAGAGTCCTGCAGGGAGGACGTGACCCGTGTGTGCTCCAAGCACACCTGGAGCAACAACCTGGCGGTGCTCGAGTGCCTGCAGGATGTGAGGGAGGTGAGGAGCTGGGACGGGGCCGGGAAGGCCAGGCCTGGTGCGGGCCTGAGGCTGTCGCCGGCCTTGGAAGCCGCTGACGCTGGTCTGCTGCTTCTCTCGCTTCCTCTGTGCTGCACTCGCGCCTTCCCTCCTTGCCCTTCTCTCGGCGCTTTCCGAGAAGACGACACCACCCCCACCCCTCCTTCCCTCCCTGGTGCGGGGGACTAGGACGCAGACCCTGGACCCTGGCCTCAATCCGCGAAGGCCCAGAGCGTGTTTATGTTTGCTCGGGTCTTTTGTGTGATGATGCTCTAAGCATAGCGGCTTTTCCCCGAAGACCTGCTTAGGATTTTGCCATCCGTTTCGGCTTGGACGATTTGTAGCAACCCTCTTGCACATGAAAAATGGTTGGCGCACTTAGGCACTTAAAGAATGAACTGCTGTTTATTGGCAGAAGATAGTGTTTGTTTAGGTAACTGGGGTTCTGTTTCTGATGTGTATTGTAGTCTACAGCCTAGTTTACTGTCTTTACCGCATTCGTTTGTAATTTGCAAATTCCTGTTATCTACCTGGTGTTGAAAGTAATGTATGCTCACACACACACACACACACACACACACACACACACCCACACACACACCCTACCTCTTGGTCTTTTTGTACCGAATCTCAAGTTTAAACTATTACTCCAAGTGATTTAGAGTTCCAACGCTTGAAAAGTTGGAGCAGCATCTGAAGCTGTAATACATATACAGTATTTGTGATTGGGTTGTGGGGTGTTGTCTTTCTGACGCCTGAATATGATTTTAACAGCATCTCTTGATGAAATCTAGATTTGATGTTATTTGATGTGAGTCAGTTGACCTAGAGAATTTCTTCAATAGATTTAGTGCTGCAGACATAAGTACACGTATGATAATTCTCAGTCAAAGTTTGGGAGCAAATCTGGTAGAGATACTTTTTTTTTTTTTTTAAGGTTTACGTATATAGATTAGCCCGAAAAGTTGACAAGTAGAATGAAGTTGCTGTTTGGTAGTTTTGTTTGACTAATTGTATCATCAGAGTTGTCTAAGGTGTTCATGATAATGGAAGCCCACTCACCAGTTTGTAGAAAATTGCTACCCTTGGCAGTGGGCACCCTCCACCCTCCAATCCCGTGGTTATATTTGCTCTTGTATCCCATACAAAGTAATTCACAAGAGGAAAGACATACAATCAGGAGACAGAGAAAAGGAAGTTTCCAGAGCTGCCAGAAATGTGGTGCCTTAGATCTAACTTCTCATCTACAACTTAAAGACTAGAGGAATGATAATCCCTTGTTATTCTTTATTCTTCAACTACTCCCCTAGTAGAATCAGCTAAGGCTCTTAAATCTGCCAAGCTTTTTTGGAGTTTTCTGTTTGGTCTTTGAGGATATAGAATAGTTTTTCTGTCAAACGAGGATCCTGATAGTGATAACTAAACACATAGTGGTTTGTGGCAGAAACAGGACATTATCAGGGAAAGTGGCTAAAAGTGGCCCCTTCAAGAAGTACGCCTCTTTCTTTGTGTGCATCAGGGATATATGGAAACCTCCACTTAACAGTAGTAGTCTTCCTTTGTCATACATGTAGAAGTGTGTAGCAGCATATATAATCCATAAATAGATTTGGCCACTTTTGGAGTCTCTTTAATTTAAGAGATACTATCTTTCTGGCATTACTTAGTGGAAGAAACCTGGCTTGGAAATGTAGTCCTTACTCCACATTTGCCTGTAAGATTCTCAGCAAGGATATTGTTTCAGTAACTACATTTTTCTTCCTTTATTGGATAATATATAAACTCCTTGAGAGTAGCTACTGGGGCCTGTATTTCCTTTGTAACTTTCTAGAGTACCAAATTCAGTGCTGAAGAGTCAGTTGACATACAATATTATATTAGTTTCAGGTATACGACGTAGTGATTAGACGTCTCAATAACTTATGAAGTGATCACCCCAATAAATCTAGCACCCATCTGACACCAAACATAGTTATTACATTATTGACTGTATTCCTTATGCTATACTTTACATCCCCATGACTATTTTGTAACTACTAGGTGGAGCTATTTTTACACTAGTTTTTTTTCCTTAAAGACCACAGAAGGAAATTTAATTCCACTTAGTTTGAGAATTAGTTAAATCTGATATTTTTGTTTGAAAGAGCATAACTTAAAGAAGTAAGCTAGCTGGGCACGTTTGAAGTGAAATTATGGAATATGTTTTGTATTTGCTGTTCAGTAAGTAGTACTGTTTGATAGGGAAGTAGACATGTGCTTCTTTATCCCTTTGTGGAGAAGATTTTTCTCTATGTATTTGCTATTAGAATTATGAAAAGGCAAAGCATGTGAGTATGTAAATGGCAGTATAGTGAACTACATTTTTTTTTTTTAAGATTTTATTGGGGAGTTGGGGGAGGGGAACAGACAAGTTGCTGTCCTTTTGTTCTTCAGTCTAGTTGTGGAGGACGTTGCTTCACTGGCCCAAGTTGGCACCATCATTACGCTGTTCCCGGGCGAGGCACATCAGTCGCCAGCTTCTGGACAGCCACTCACTGCGGCTGCTGGCCGCTCATTCTGGCTGCTGGCTACACACAGTAGCCCATGGCAACCCACTGTAGCAGGGGCTGCAGCCTGTACCGTAGCCGGCGACTCACAGCAACCCTGCTCCAGGTTGAGCTGTTGTTCAGCATCTTAGCTGTAGAGGGCAGTGTCACTGGCCCTCGTATGTGGGATCCGAACCGGGGCCCTCTGGCATCCCAAGCCAGTTCTTAACCATCGCGCCACTCGGCCAGCCCACTTTCTTCCTTTTTTAAAAAAACGGGTTGGGAAACTGGCATATTTTAGCAAATATCAGACACTCTGTCATTTCACTGTAATACTTTAATACATGTCTAGTAAGAACTTAAAAAATAAAACCAGAACTTAAGTGTTATTTTTTAAAATTTTTTAAAGATTTTCTTGGGTAATTAGGGGAGGGGAACAGACAAGTTGCTGTCCTTTTGTTCTTCAGTCTAGTTGTGGAGGATGTCACTTCACTGGCACATGTTGGTATTATCATTGCACTCTTCCCAGGTAAGGCAGATTGGTTGCTGGCCATTGGACGGCCACTCACGGAGGCTCACGGTAGCTTATGGCACGCCCGCTGCCAGCCAGCCCCATTGCAGCCTACACCGTCACTGGCAACTCACGGCAGCCCAGCTCCAGGTTGAGCTGTTGTTCACCATCTTAGTTGTAGAGGGCGCAGCATCACTGGCCCTCATGTGGGATCCAAACTGGGGCCCTGCTGCAATGTCCCAAGCCAACTCTTAACCAGCGTGCCACTCGGCCAGCCCTTAAATGTTATTTTTAGTATTAAAATGCATTATGAAATATTTCTTCTGAATTTCTTGGTGTCTTCTCGTGATATATCAATTTCAGATTATAGATTTGTGGACCACTATCTTTAAGCTATGCACAGAGTGAATGCTTTGTAAATATTTATTTGACATGGACTGTTTTATGTATTGAACAGGACTCAACATTTCAACGTTACAAACCGTAAACCCATTTTCAAACTCGTAGGTGAACATTTTTCTCCCTCTGTTCTTAGCCTTTCACTTAACTGTATCCTAAGGTAGTGTAACACACTGTATTATCTCATGTAATATATATATTTTTAATTTTATTGGGGAATTGGGGGAGGGGAACAGTGTTGGGGAATTGAGGAAGAGGACCAGCCAAGTTGTTGTTCTTCAATCTTCGCTGTGGGGGCACCAGTTGCCATCTGGCTTCCTTTCAGCAGCTTGTGGCCTCTAAGCTCAAGATGCTGTGTTCAATCTTAGTTGCGGGTGGGCGTAGCCACCATCCTATGCGGGAATCGAACCAGCAGCCTTGTTGTTAAGAGCACACGCTCTATCCACTGAGCCATCTGGGCGGCGGCCCAGTTCAAGGTGCCAAGTTCAGTCTTAGTTGCGGGTGAGCATAGCCCACCAGCGAACACGCAATCTTGTTGTTACACCAGCTGAGCCATCCTGCCACCTGTTGGCAGCTCAGCAACAGCTCAGCTTAGGCGCAGCATCACTGGTCCATGTGGGAATCGAACTGGTGGCCCTGTTGCTCAGAGCTCACACTCTTAAGCCAACTCTTAACCAACTGAGCCACTCGGCCAGCCCCCTCATGTAATATTTTTGATAGTTCTATGAGATGGAGAGTATTATCTTATTGTCTTCGTTGAGAAACAGGTTCAGAGAGATGAAATAATTTGTCCAACGTTATACTCTTAAGTTGTAGAGCTGGTATTCAGGAAGTTGTCTTTGACTTCAAAGACCTTAACTCTTTCCAGTCTACCATGGATGGTTGCAGCTAGGAAATTATGACTGTTGAGAATGCCAGAGGTTCATAAATAGGCACAAAATGAGAAGGGTCACCTGGAGTTAGAATCCCTTTTTCTTCACTACCAAGAACAGTTGGGTGGCAACAGCTCCTATGCATTGGAGTATTGTAGATTTCTCAGGCAGGTAGGTCAGCATTATTAGACAAAGCTAATTTAATTATTAGTCTGAGTCTATCGTGAGCAGAATTTCTGCTTAATGAAAAGATTTTAAAATTTAATCTCGCCTTAAGCAGGAATTGTACTAGTATAATGTAAGAATTTAGATATATCCCCTTACTATTTGTATTGGAACAGCACAAAGAGTGAATGAGGACTAGAGTTGGCACTCTCATTAACTAATTGAATGACTGTGGGCAAGTCATTTTACCACTCTGAGTCTCAGTTTCCCATGTGTTAAATGAGATGTTTGGGTAATAGTACAATTTTAAGATTTCTGCTACTTAACCTATATGAGTTGCTCCCCAAATACACCTAACCCACATACAAGAGTGTGTGCATATATGGGGTCTGACAATTAAGTTCGCCAACTTGTTGCAGTGATGTTGCTAACATTTTTTGACATCAGAGGAATTATTCATTATGATAAATAATTAATTATTATTTGTACCAACTGGATA